TTAAAGGATATCAGGCATCTCAGTGTCACAGTTTTCACAGTTGTCACAGTCTTCCACTCTGAGAGTGTCACTCATCACTTAAAGGTCATAAACTGATAACAAGAGCACAGAGCACTGCAGCAGGTCAGGACCGAGAGCACAGAGCACTGCAGCAGATCTAGACTGAGAGCACAGAGCACTGCAGCAGATCTAGACTGAGAGCACAGAGCACTGCAGCAATTCAGGACTGAGAGCACAGAGCACTGCAGCGGGTCAGTGCACAACATTAACATGTTGTTAATGACATTAGAAAGAGTTGAAAACACTACAAGGAGTACAGTTCAGGTTGTGGTTGGTGTCCAGGTTTTGTTACTCGTATATGAAGGAGTATAATAGTAATAGGAGGCAATATGGGGCACTTTGTGTGAACCGGTTCCCCCAGAGGTCTGTCATCACCAGTGAAAGGAACAACTGGACACATGAGGACTGAAAACCCAGGAAGAGAAGACTTGCACAGCTGCTACACATCTGCTGTCCGAGCCAGGGATCAGAGATTCAGGGGAGAGCAGAAAGGTGAATAATGAGCAGCTGAAGGCAACGCCACTTATCATGCTCCAAATGAAGAAAGGGAAGCTGAGAGGCAAGAGGGAAACCAGGGGTTTGGAGAAGGTGAGTCGGTTAAGTGACGGCGGCCTCTGGAAACCTTATGAACCCAGTCAGCAGACTAACTATTGACTGGTAGTAATTAACCACAAGGACTCGAGTCTAGAATTCTGCTGAAGACTAGTTTTGCTTTATATTTTTTCCTGTCACTAACATTTTTCAAAAACTAAATTAGTTGTAAATTGACAAATGAAGTAAGACCTCAAATATTACAACGCCCATATCTATGCCCTGAATTGAAAATATTTATATTTGTTCTACAGGACAATGGTTACAAATCAGGTATAGCCTAGAAACAGCATTATATACTATATACTAGCAATCCATCCAGACAGACAGTGATTATTTGCTTAATTCAGTGTGTATTCAATTCAAGCTTTAATATCCTCTGGGGGAAACTGATTTTAAGTGCAGTCCAATACAATAATACAACAAGGAAGGCAAACATTCAATTCAATTAATTTTAATATAGCGCCTTTCACATCAAGGTTGCCTCAAGGTACTTAAAGCAAGTGACTCTACATGTTGTGAATGCAGAACAGAGAAGACCAGAAGACAATGGAGGAGAGGAACCAAAAACTCCTCAGTAAGGAGAAAAAAACCTCTGGGGGTCCAAGGTCAGCTGGCTGCCCAACCCCTCTGGGCATGCTAATGTCATACAGTTAAAAAAAGGAATAAATGAATAAGCAAACATTACCAGCAAAGAAGACAGTGCAATAGTGTTACAGAAGATAAGAAAATGACTTTGTATTCTCTGAGAGAGACATAGATAGATTTCCTGAGTCTGTCACTTTCACACCTGGGGACACAGAGGCGTCTTCCAGGTGGGAGGAGTGTAAATTCTCACTGGAGGGGGTGAGACACACACTCCATAATGCTCCTGCCTTCTTTACAACCCTCTGTTTGTACGGGGTATTTAAGATGACTGGATTTGCCTCTTCTTATTCTTACTGTGTTTCCCAATCTGTTACTATTAACTGTACTGATGTTACCAAACCAACAAGTCAGACAGTATGTTAAAACTCTTTCAATAAATGACTTGGAGAGAAAATAGTTCTGTTTACTATAAAATAGCAGAGTATGAAGAAAAAAGGACTCTCTGTTGGCATTTCTTGTATATGATATCATAACATTTGTTCCATTTTTATGGATGACTTCATACTGCTACTCTTTTTTGATAGTGAATAATGCCAACAAATTCTTCATGTAAATATAGAGACTGATTATTCAGCAAAGATGAAGTTACTCATACCACTTGTTTAACACAGCAACCAAACATCTATCTTTGTGGGTTTAGCACTTGCAGGAGCAGTGCATCAAGTTATAGCAGAGCGACTTGATCTGGGAGTGTCAGTGTTGGTCCCTGCCACTAGAGGGCAGTGTCTCCAGAGACAAATATAGGAGGGGCAGCATGGTGGCGCTGGTTTCCTGGGGTGCTAACTTCATGTTCCCCCCGTGTTCGTGTGGGGTTCATCCAAGTGCTGCAGTTTCCTCCCACAGTCCAAGACGTGATCAGTTGACTTCTGGGGAAAATATACTGTAGGTGCCAAACGAGAGGAGCCGTGTGCCCATCTGGCCTGTGTGGTAGCTCGTAGCTAATTGATCCCAGGATCTCATCCAGCTGTTTCTTGAAAGGAGCAGGGATATCGGCTTCATCAGCTGAGCTGTTTGTTCCACACCCCCACCACCCTTCGTATAAAGAATTGCTGTCTGCTCTGTTTTAAGTGCACTTTCATGAAGCTTCCACTTGAATCCTCAGACCTGTGTTTCACTGATTCTGAAATCCTCTGTTTGCTTTGTCAGAGCCTGTGAGAATTCTGAAGACTTAATACCTTCATATCTTCTCAAGACTACGGAGGTTCAGTTCCATCAGCCTGTTAGTGCAAGACATTAACGTAAGACCAGTATCTGCATCTCATTACTCTACTCTGGACTGACTGCTGCTCTGAAATCCTTTTTTTTAAGTGCTGAGCATGAATGTGTCACGATTGTCATCCCTCCTCTAGAGCGCGCTCCGACCTGTTTGTATTTTAGTTTCATTATTACGTGCACCTGTCTCCTATTTTCTTGTCCCTACTTAAGTTTGGCTTCTCCGGGCTTCAGGGCTCGGTATTGGAAGATGGATGCCACAAGGCCTGCCTATCCCCCGGGCTCGTGGGTAGCCCGAGGGCAGGTTTTATTCTCCGGCCTCCTGACCATCTGGGGCTCAGAGCACCTGGCTCCGTTATGATTTTAACTTCCTTGTTCCTGATTCCTTGTCCCCGTTCCTGTGTCTATTTGGATGGATCTCCCGGCTATGGACTTTGGACTGCTTCCTAGTTTCCCTTTCTGGATAGTTTTGGACTTGTTCACCTGCTCCCCCCGAGCACCGGAAGATCGCCGTCACGCCCCCTGTCAGTCATCCCGTCCTGATCCTGATCGTGTTTCCCTGTTGCCCTTCTCCAGTCTCTTCCGGACTTTACCGTCTGCACAGGGTCCTAAATACGCACTACATGGGAGTCTGAACTGGCTCCCGTTACAGAATGTACATATGAGGGCTAAACAGTACATTATACAACTTTAACACAACATTCCTTGATTTGTATTCTATGCCTTATCACATTGTTACACAAACAAGATGGTTTCTCTATATAGTTGTGATGCTGAGATTAATCAGTGATCTAAAACTTCTGAATACCAAATATTTAATATACTGTATAAAGAATATGTTAGTTTTGTCTGCGCATTTGCCCTTAAGGGGATCTAGTCTGAGCAGTTTACTGAATAGCAAGCAGATGTCAAGGAGATAATAAGAGCTGAGAGGAATAGTGCAGTAACTGGGCTTTCTCAGTATTACAGTACAACAGCAGAAGATCATTACCATTTGACTGACTCCAAGTCAAACCCTTTTGTTAAGAAGCTTTCAGAAACCCGTCAATGAAAGTTGGTATCTCCTTTTAAAGGACATGCTATGAGCACCGGGATAAAACGTTCTGCTCTGTTCATAGCAAGCAAAAATCAGGGTACTTAAAGTAATTTTGCAACAACTGAAAATCAAGACATTTAAGAATCCGTACTATTTTTTAAATTACAAAAGAATGGGACAGTAAGGGATGAAGTGTCAGATAAACATAGGGAACTTACAAAAAGGGAAAAGGACAATCAAATATCCTTCAGATATTTTCAAAGGCAGAAATCAACAGCTTTCAGTACTCCTTAGACTGAGCAAAGGCAAGGTGTGGTCTTAGTTCTATAAGAGCCAGGAATGTTACATTTGTGTTGAGGGATCAAACATTTATTTCTCTTATTTCACTAGTTTGCAGTTACTTTGTAAATAAGTTATTAACATAATTTACTAACTATCCTGCTAGAATAATGGAAAATGACTAACTGTGACTTAAGTGTGAGCTGGCTACGTGCCTGGAACGTGAGGGCAGAGCCAGCCTCAGGCAGCCTGACCAGAACTGAGAGAGACTGATAACTGCTAAAGCCATGATGAACAAATTCTACGTCTGCTTAAATACTGATTAAAGGAACCCGAGAATATTCTTACAGTTTATCACACACCTAGGCTTTACACCATACAGTATATGGCATGGAATTGTAATGGAGCTGTTCTGGGTGGGTTTTCTGTTTGTCATTTTGTGTAAAAAGCCTCCTTTTGTATCAGTGAGTGGAGTCAGTGCTTCATCAGCTTTGGCTCCAGTGTGCACAAGTACTAAAGGAAATGCCTGCTTCACACACACCCGGATCATGTCTTCTTTGTTGGACACAGCAGTGTGGACACAATTAATGTGCAGGACCTCCTGGTATTCCATCACCTTTACTAAAATCAGCGTTCGTAGAGTTCTGGCAAAATAAAACAAACCCCAGACTGGCTGCTTCTGTGTCTGGGATGCATGATGTGATTACAGAGTGCTGTCCCGGGTCAAAGTGTATTTGGAAAAGGTAGCAGTTGCTAGTGAAGATCTGGTGCTTAGTGAAGAGTAAGAGAGAAGAGTTGTAAAGACTGAGAAACACAAATGGTCTAGCACCTGGTGATTATGGAAGAGTTATTATAAATATATGATAATCCTTCTAAATTATCACCAGGTTCACTTACTTTGAATTTTATATATTTAATAGGATCTGTTGACTGTACATGAGTACAGGGTTTTAAATAATTGTCAGCATTATATTCCAATATTCAAAATATGTAGAGCAAGTCATTTTATTTTTCTTGATACTTTTTCAAACCAGTTCTTTTCCAGGTACAGTAGTTCTAAGCTATTATCCAATCTTTTCTAGTGTCTGGAAATTCCCCTCATTAAAGGTGTCAGGGATTTAAGTTAGTGCTGGATCTGGAAGTGGATGAGTATTTTTAAAAATCGTAAACTTACCCTTCGATGAGGCTTTGTCACTCATGTCTGTGGGCTGCTGCTCTGCTCAGTGAGTTGGAGTTGGAGTTGGAGTTGGAGTTGGAGTTGGAGTTGGAGTTGGAGTTGGAGTTGGAGTTGGAGTTGGAGTTGGAGTTG